TCTGAAAAGTGATGCCAAGGATCACGCTTAGTTTGGACGGACAACAATCATACCATCTCCGTCCGACGAGACTGTGCTGTTGGTACATATACCGTGAAAAATGCAATTTCTCTGTGAATTCATAAAAATAAGTTTTGAGTAAATGATCTTCTTGGATCAATGTTCTGTGTGAAGGAGCAAATCTGATACAAGAATTTCTCAACCGTGTAAAGGGAAGAAACAACTCGAGAGTAAGGCAGTCGCATCCTCGATCGGACGGAGGAGAGGTATAACTAGAGAGCAGCCTTGTTGTCTCCTTAGATCCCGAGGGGGAGAGCTAGGGGCGGTGAGAGCTGACTAGGTGTTTAGCGTTCAATTCCAGGAGAGGAGAGACCGTTCTAGTTAGCGACAAGGTTGAGAGAAGTTAAGCGGAGCGCTCACATAGCCAACCAGCGAGTTCAGTGCTCAAGGCGAGTCGAGCACGAACAGAGGGCGAGTGCCTGTTGTGCAGGGCTTTATATACATCCAATTGACGGAGTGGAGGTAATATGTCGTGTGACGTAGGCCTAGCGCTCTCCACTAGGTTACCGAAGCGTTGGTGTACGAGAGATCTGTGCAAGGCGTGTAGGCAATGTAGCGACGGCTACATAACTCCGTTTGTTTGCGATTTTTGGCTAGAAAAGCAAGTAAAAAACGTCACCCGTTTTTTGGAAGCAACGGCCTCAACAGGAGCCAACTGTTGGCTAGTCGATGGTTCGTCGTCGTCCGTGAGGATGAACGCAGGCTTCACCGTTCTGTATTTCATTGTTTTTCTGCTGCCCGTTAACGGTAAACTATCGGATGGTCATACCCATATTCGTAGATTCTATGAGTATAAGGAAAGCTTCACTTTCTGCGCTCGCGTATGGGCCGATAAAAAAATAGATGAAACATAGTTTTGAGTCCTTCATAATATATTCAAGTTTTGTCAAAGTGGGATGCAGGTGCCCATATATTCCTTGTGGGTGTGCCAGTGAAAGAATATCGTAGGCTAGAAGGACTTCTGATAAATGATCACGTATTCGGTCGAAAATTCGCTCCATTTATTTCACAGACGATCCCAATCAATGTGGCCTCTTACACACAATGATATTTTATTTTTCATTTTCCTCGAGATCATTAGGTCTTTCATTTCCTAGTAGCATTTATGATTTTATAGGCGCCTCTCATAACCTTAAACCTCTCCTACTATCGTTCTTTGTCTGTTTTTCCGGTACCATGGATTGACTTTGGTTACTGCGCCCATTTGCCAGTCGGTACTGCAGAGATTCTGCTGTATTCCTGTTCCAATCACACTGACTCGGTGAGCAAGAGTAACTCTACATGCGTGCCTAATGCCAGTAGCCTCACACCGAGCGGTGTAACTAAGCGGACACTCCTCCAAGTACTAACCCAAGTAACTCTTATATAACTCTAACTCTATAACTCTAACTTCGCGTGGCTATTACCGTTGCTCACACAATAATGAATTTTTGATAAATAATAGGAAATACGAAATTCGGCTTACAGTATTGTGCCATACAAACTTATTACTCGTCGCTTACGCTGTCGAATTGATCAATAATTCGGTGAGATGATCGCTGAACTCGAATATGATATTTGGATTCGCAGCCTCCGATCAACTATGAAAGTAATTAGAATATTTCACCGGAAGTGTTAAATGATTTATCGACTATTAGCTGACAATTATCATTCTTGAAGTAGCTTACGAGAACAACTTTCAGCTTTCTGAAATTAGACTTTGACTAATGGATTTCGAGGTTTTTCGTTGAGCTTACCGACTGGTATTAGATCAATTTTACGGTTAATCAAGGTTACGGTTCAGCTCACAAGCGGATAATAGTCAGCACATTCCACCAATTGATTAAAAAATTGATCTGTGCATCAAAGATATTATACAAATGAAAGACTTTATTAAGTCCAGAGTACAAAATTTAACCGTTATCTGGTATTGACTGAATCCTTGTCTCATAAGTGAAAATCTGGAATTGTCGTCCAATTCTTATAACCAATTTCAACTTTTGAAACTTGAAAAAGCAAGTCTCTTTTCTGGAGAAGTGAACACTAAACCACCGGAAAAATATCAATAAACTTTATATCAAATTAAAAGCCTCATGTTAACTATATATTGAATCATCTGAAAATTTAAATATTCTTAATAATAGGAAAAGCGAAGTAAACTCTTTAAACAGCTTCGCAGATTCTTCGCAGCTGGCAACACAAAAAGGACTATCTAGACGCGAGGAGAAACCTAGCAAACGTGAGAGAGAAACTAATCAGGGAATGGCTAGAAGAAAAGCAAAGGGACGTAGCCGCAAGCAGAAACCTTACAGAATGGTGGAAAGCCATGGATTGGTACAGGAGGAGAAGAAGGGCAACGATCTCCAGTGAAATCACGAAAGAGGATTGGATGGAACACTTCCGGGTACTGCTAGAAGGAGAAACACACAGCAAAGAAGAATTTCAAGGGCAAGAACCAGACTACAGGCAGGTTCACCCAGGTCCAAGCACAGGGTGCCCAAAGAGCACAAAAGAAAAACAAGGTAAAGAAAAACGGAAAGCAGAAGAAAGAAGGGGGCAGGTCACAGAGGAGGCAATGGAGGTAAATACAGAAACTAAGAGAAAAGGAGCAAAGGAGGTGAGAGAGGCGATGCTAGGCATTGAACTCGAAAAAGAAGGCTGGAGAGAGAAAGAGACAGACAAGAACGAGGGAAGCAACAACCTAAACCGCCCACTGTCACAAAAATAAATAATCAAGATAATAAATAAGCTAAAGAGAGGAAAGGCGCCTGGAGAGGATGGAATAACTGCAGAGTTTCTGAAAGGACTGCCCAAGGAGGGAAGGCTAGAGTTAATTCAGATAATACAAGACAGCTGGCAAGAAGGAAGGGTGATAGGACGTTGGAGAATGGCATCAATACACCCCATCTATAAAATGAGGGGAAACGAAAACTCCCCGAGCAGTTACAGAGGAATATCCCTACTTGACATTGGCTACAAAATCTTGGCCTCAGTGATGGCGAGAAGACTAGGTGAGTGGCTAGAGCAAGAAGAGAAATTAACAGAGGTACAGGCGGGCTTCAGGAGCGCGACAGGAACAGTGGACCAAGTGTTCGTACTGAACACGCTGATAGGGAACAGACTGAAACAAAAAGGGGGCAAACTATACGTCTCCTTCATAGACTTCAAGGCAGCCTCTGACAAGGTGGACAGAAACAAACTCTGGAGAAAAATGGAGCAGATGGGGATAAACGGCAGGTTCCTAGACATGACAAGAAATATCTACCATGGAACCAAAAATGAAGTACTAGTCGGAAGAGAAAAAACAGAAGAATTCACAACAACTAAAGGAGTAAGGCAGGGATGCCCACTCAGTCTTCTTCTCTTCAGCATATACCTGAATGACTTAGAGCCAGAACTAAGAAAGAGAGGCGATGGAGGCACAGGAATAGGGCCAGGGTCACTCACAAAAATATTCCCACTATTTTAAGCAGACGACGCAGCACTGGCAGCGGAGGACGGCAAGGAACTACAGAAGATGCTGAACAATCTAGGAAGATGGGCAGAGAGAAATCACATGGAAGTAAGCGTGGAAAAAACAAAAATAATGGTCTTCAGAAAAGGGGGCAAGAGAAAAAAAGAAAAGTGGCTGTAAAAGAACGAAGAGATGGAAGTTGTCAAAGAATTTAAATACCTAGGCTTCTGGTTCACCCAAGGAAATAAATACACTAAACACACAGAAAAGGCAGCCGGGAAAACACAACAATTAATAAACAAGATCGGGGGAGAAACGAGGAGGGCAGGAGTAACGGACCTCGGGAGAAGACTCATGGACTCGACAGTGAAAGCGGTGGCAATGTACGGAGTCGAGCTCTGGGGCTGGGAAAGAAGAGAAGCAATAGAAAAGTTACAAAACAGATACGTAAAATCATGCATGGGTCTGGCAAAGAACACACCGGGTTACATATGGAGGCTAGACGCAAGCAGGAGGAGCATAGAGATAGAGGCAAGAAGAAGAGCGGGGACCTTCATCATGAAGCTATGCATGATGAACGAAGACAGATGGCCAAGGAAATCCCTCATGGAGGAACTGAGAAACATAGACAACCAGACCCCGACCAGCTGGGGGAAGTCATTGAAGAGAGCACTAGATCAAGTAGGGGACGGTGAACTACTACCTCTACTACGAGAAGGAAGACAGCTGGGAGCGATAGAGGAGAAGCTAGGAGAACTAGAGAAAAAGGCAACAGACCAAGAAGTACAAACAGACTGGGTGAAGGCAGATAAATCTATAAATCTTTCTGCAACTACTACTCTAAGGTAAAAGAGAACCTTGAACTGCCCATACTGGCACCAAAACGAGCTAAAAGCTGGACAGAAAGAGACCTGGGCAAGATGGAGATGCGGCAATGCACTGAGAGAGGGAAAGGCAAGCTATATGAGCAGCAAGTGTAGGGCGTGTAATGACACAGCCGAAACAGTGGAACACGTCACAAACTGTGAAATGGTAATGAGGAGACTGAAGGCAAAAGACAGATTATGGTGGAAGGAATGGAGAGGCGAACTACACGGGCATGAGAGAAGACTGAAACTGATAAAGGCAGAAAAGAGTGACAGAAAAGCTAAACAGACCACTATGAATAGGCAGGCATAGAAAAAATACTCAGAGAATATGAGGAGATGAGAAACCAAGAGGAGAAGAAGGCATCTCGGAACGGATAATAGAAGGGAGAACAGGCTATTAAAAGTACAAACTACATTATGTATATATATATATATATGAAGATTCCAAAGACTTGAACTTGCTTAAGAGATAATTATTACATCTTTATAATGCCAATTGTTATTGACGATCTAGTATAAAGAGGTTAAAGGGTAAGGGAGTAAGGCTCGTGTGGATATAAAACTTTAAAGTAATATCAATGAATAAATAAATCTATCTATCTAATAGGAAAAGATCTTATCAATGGAAAGTGAATTACCAATTATTCCAACAAGCTCACGATCATAGAGATCTGATAACTGTCCTAGTACCCGCTGATCCGTGTCCAGTGTGTGTGCAACATTGAATACCTGAAGAGTGTCGGGCTCACACGCGATCAGCGCTTCAATCACTTTATTATCTGAAGCAATACAAAATTGATTAATGAAAATGTTTTTCGTCCACCTAACGTCATATTACATTTTGATAAAAATTAGTGTATACAAAATGAACATGACCGAGTAATAATGACACACCAATAGTGACATTTTGTTGCAACTATCTTGGAAAAATTGTAATAACTAAAGATTTTCCAAAATAATATTAAAAAATTCAGTGCATGGATCATGCAGGGAATACGATTATCGAGTTTAACACTCCATTGGTTGAGCCACGAAAATGGTGTCAGCTATTTTTCGATCAACACTATAAATGGAGGGAAAAGTCCAAAAAAGATTAGCGTGTCGGGCATTAGAATCGTGTTGCAAAATGCGAAAATACTAGGATTTCTTTGTTCACGAATAAAAATTGGGTAAATGTACATGTCCATCAAAAACAGTAATCATTGAAATATTTCTCTGGGAAAAAATCTATTCTTATCCTCTCAGTTCCCATTAACAAGACGAAAAAAGAGAGTGAGAAACAACAAGGAGGTAAATACATCGAAAAATAATCCTGAGGTAAACTTAAGCCCTCCTTACCCCTGCCGGCGCTGTTGATACGATGAGTGATTGATATTAAATTAAATATTTAGACTTGCTATAGAAGGGTAGCGGTGGATAAATCACTCATTGTGTTCAGTCAGCGATGGCAGATGGTCGGGAGAGGTGAATTCAGAGTTCTAGTGAAGTGTTCAGGAATATTTGATAAACCCATCTTTTTCTTTCGTGTCCATTGTCTATAAATGTGCCAACATGTGGTGTCTTTGGGGCCGACACACCGCCACGTCCTCGCCGTGACCCTGCATAACGCAGAGAGCAGTGTATTAAATATGATATCTCCTATTTTAATTATTTCCGGATAGAAAGATGACCAGATCCTTAGTTAGGTGACGGGAACCCATCCAATGAAATAAAAAAACATCCAGAATGGTTTGGTGTGTGCTTCCATACAATTTGCGAAACAAGTCGATAAAATTTGAAGGTCTATTCATCTGTTATTTGAGGTTGAAGGAACAATTAATAGAAATCAACTAAACAACAGTTGTATTTTTTATTGCGCTCTCTTTTAATTTTTACAGGACCGACTGCGCACGCCCTGCAACGAATTTCAATTTGGCGGTTCCAGTTGAACAATGAGGAATGAATAAGATTGCGTGGTAAGCAGATGTGGATGAGAAACGAAAATCTGGGCAATTTTGTTGATAAGCAGGCATAAACTCATTAATATATATTATGTGTAACATTTCGTGGAAATAGTGTATAGGGATATTGCTATATTCGTTGAATTTGTAATATAGAGAAATTTTTTTTGGGTAAATTGGAGTTTCGATATGTGTGTAAGGATACGTCACGTCGAATCCTGGTCGGACACGGAGTGACGAATTTCAATCGTGCAAGTTACGTATTGCACAAGTTTAAATAACGATCCAGTCAAACTTTTGGAAAGTGGAGTAAAAAGTACGTAAAAAGTTTCATAAAAATTACAGTCTACGAGGTAATCGTGGGGTGCGATATAAACTCGGAGCTAGTATAATTTAGAAGGATAATTCGTATAGGAAATTTCACGACTCAGTCAGTAAAAATCAGGGACTTGGAATGAAACTCTGGAACGGAACGAAATTGCCGTTTTTGCATTTCGTTCCGTGGAACGTTTGAGGAGCGAAACAAAACTCGGAACGAAATCTCTAGAACGTTCTGGCTTGGAACGAAACTCGGAACGAAATGTCTGGAATGTTTGGGCTTGGAACGAAACCCGGAACGAAGTATCTGGAAGGTTTCGGATTGGAACAAAAACCCGGAACGAAACGTCTGGAACGTTTCGGCTTGGAACGAAACCCGGAACGAAACGTCTGGAACGTTTCGGATTGAAACGAAACCCGGAACGAAAATCGCGGAACGATACAGCTTCGAATGGAATTCGGAACGAAATGTCTGGAACGTTCCAGCAGGGAATCAAAGTGTGAAAAATTTCTCGCTTGGAATGATGTTCGTGAGAAGCCGTTTTAAAGCAATCTCCTGTAGGAGACTAAATATTTAACGATTATTTAATTAATTAATCCGATCTTCCATTTATCGTTAACAATTAAACTTTGGTTAAAAGACTCGATATAATATAAGCTGGGTTGATTGTGGTAAATTTAATGTTGCTCGCTCGAGAGTTCGTTTCCAGGTGTCCTCAGTCACCAATTCGTCCAGGGTGTCAGGTCTACCCATTAGACAAGGCCCTTTGTCTATGGGGTTGGTCCACGTGTTGGGCTGTTTCGTATAAACAGCCTAAATGTTTCCATTATTCCCTCTGATCTGTCACAACAGGTCTCTTGTTCGTTTTAACGTCGAAAATATTTCCAAGACTTCTGATTTTTATTAATTAAAAAACGTGTTTATTCAATTTTCTTTCTCATTCTAAAAATCGTTTTAAATATTTGAAAAAATTTGAAAAAAGCAAAAACCCTTCAAAATGATAGGAAATTATTTTTTCTCATTCTTTCCTCGCTAAATTCGGTTTTGCATCGCACAAATCCCGTAAATACTAACCGATATCACATTTTTTTTTTCAAAATCGTAGCGGCTCCGTTTTCCGTTCACTGTTCCATTCTCCGCCGAATTTCATTCCGGGTTTCGTTTCAAGCTGGAACGCTCCAATAATTTCGTTCCGGGTTTCGATCCAAGCCGAAACGTTCCAGACATTTCGTTCCGGGTTTCGTTCCAAGCTGGAACGCTCCAATAATTTCGTTCCGGGTTTCGATCCAAGCCGAAACGTTCCAGACATTTTGTTCCGGGTTTCGTTCCAAGCTGGAACGCTCCAATAATTTCGTTCCGGGTTTCGTTCCTAGCCGAAACGTTACAGACATTTCGTTCCGAGTTTCGTTCCAAGCGGGAACGTTCCAGACATTTCGTTCCGAGTTTGGTTCCGAGCATTTCGTTCCACAACTTTCATTCCGAGTTTCACTTCTAACTCGGAACGATACAATTTCGTTTCGTTCCCAGCCCCTGGAACGAAATTCAAACCGGAATGCGTTCCAAGTCCCTGGTAAAAATGACTGTTCGAGGTATAAAATTTCTGATGACGATAGCTCCCTAAAATTTTCTGGACTATTCCATAATTTTTCCCCTCCATTGCTTTCGATAATAATTAAGGTAGCGACTGATGATTTTTTCATACTTTCCAGTTCATTCGCGACAATCAAACCGAGAAATTAAAAACCCCAAAATTGGGGGCGGCGGGATACCAAATCGAACCCACGAACCATACGCCATTTTGACGTTTTAACCATTCGGTTTTTTAAATATGTTTCATGATTCTTTATTCTTATAAATACATTCGAGTATAGCGAAAATAAAAAAACAAGTACATAACAAATTTCTTTGTGGCATTTTAAATTATGGTATTATTTAATGTTATTGGCATTTAATATTAGTTTTTGAGTTTGACGTTTAATTATTTTTGTTGGTATATCGGTTATTGATATTTGTTCTAAAAGAAGCATCCTTGTTTTAAGATGTATGCTCAAAAGAAAAAAAAGAAAAATTCCATAAGTAGAAGATCCGTGAGCGTTTTTTCTTTGTTTTTTATGCTTAATTCCCTTTTCCTCACATATGGAGTACAGATGTAGTATACCTATTTTAAAGCTTATTAACTAAGCTTCAAAATGACACCAGAGTCGGCCAATTCCAATGATTTTCCATTGACTTCTGAAGGTTTAAGCCGAAAATTGCATTTTCAGTTCCTACTTGAAAAATCAACTTTGGTTCGATTTTTAGGTATTTATAACTGAACTAGGTACGAATATTGATAAATGATTCTGAAGAGCTATTAATATTCTTCGAAATAGTATGTAGTTAATATGATTCAATTGAATTTTCATCAAGTTACAACTGATTCTTTCCTTCTCCCACCCTATGTCACACCTCACAAATGAGTTTTTACCACTTAGTGAGGCTTTATACTTCCCCAACGGGGATATGTCATATATTTGACGGTCCCGTAGGAATCTACAAACTGACCTCTCATCACTTCCATCCACTGGATCCAATGTTATGAGCGATAATATAACGATTTTAGGATGTCACGTTTTGCAAATTTTCGTGTTTTTCGGTTTAATGAGGCAATTTGCTGTATTTCTGTTCCATTTTATAAAGATTCCTTATTTCATGGTGGAAACATATTTAATTACCTTGAAATTGACTGGTGTGGTGATCGAATAAGATTAATGTTCATTAAAGTAAGCGAACTTTTCGAAAAAAGTTCAATTAAGTTAGGTCTATCTAAAATCTGTTTACTTCGATTTCAATATAGTTATGAGATTAGCTGGTGGAACCATTTATATACCATTTTAAAGAGTCTTTAATACTCATCAAAATCGTGGCTGATTAATCTGATTTAACTAAACCTTCATGAAATTAGAGCAGATCGTTTCCATTTTCTTCTTTATGACACAGGTCAAAAACCATCGTTTTTTTTTTCATTTATTGGGCCTTTAGACTTAATCAACCGTATATATCATATATGAAATTGAAAGTCTTAGTGAGATCTATGAATTGACTCCACATTCCACCGATTCCATTAAATGGATTCAATGTCATGAGTGATAATATAGCGATTTTAGCATGTCATGCTTTAGAAATTCGTATATTATTTTTCATCGTAATAAGATTTGCTCAGCCTATGTGAAAATTCGAGATGTTTTGTACGTAGGGAAAATACATTGCATTACCCTGAAATTGACACCAGAATTGATGGATTGAGGAAAATTTTTATCATCTTTTGGGCAATGTTGTAAGGAGTAGTATATTATGCAACACGTGCGTAATATATTTTTTGACTCGTGGGGGATTTGTAACACGAGCCGAAGGCGAGTTTTACAACCCCACGAGTTGAAAAATATATTACGCACGCGTTTCATACAACATTTTATGTCATCGCACCCGGAATCGGCGATTTAATCCAGCGAAGCGAGGTTAGAATCGCGCGATTACGGGC